TTCAGCTGCAAAAAGATCCACAGGGTCAATTGAGCTTAGGGCATCCTGGTCCGGCCAAGACAATGCCTCAGGGGAATCCGCTCCACCTGTAACCAGTTCGAAAGAACCTGTGGATAAGCCATGCTGCGAATCTGGAGCAGGTGGTGTTTCGAGTGCCGCAGGAACATGTCTTCGAAACCGTTTGACAACACACACCGGTGGATCAATAGAATTCATAAATCCAAGACAGCACAAGAAAAACGTCGTTCCAATCATGCCATAGAAGTCAAAAACAGGGTACAAAACTGGCAATGAAAATGCTCATCCCAAAACCTGTCGAACCATGGCCAAATGAAAAGGAAAACGAAGTAGAACAGCGGTCTACACACCACCCCAACTTGACCCAAAATGGCAGCCATAAACCGGATCACCCTTGCAAAACAGGAAAACCAGAAACAACAAACAGGTTTCAGGTTTGACGAAAAAAGTGTTTTGCAAAAACAGAGGCCGGTTTCTAGCTAGTGAACAAAACCGATCAAGCTCGTGTACAGACTGAGCCAGCTACCATGGTCAACCGGCCGCATCAAATGCAATTGGTTCAACGCCTGCAAGTTGACCGCTCGAGGAGCTCCACACGATTGATGGATAAACCGCTCAGAGGCCCTAAGTCTACTGAAGACCCTGTGTACAGCTTAGCCTAGTGGTATGGAACGACCGACTCCTATGAAAGATGCCGCTGTCCATCGCCTTGCAAAGTCTATTACTCAACTGACCCTGTGCCAGGTCACTACCATTGAAGTCGATGATGCCACCAAACTTCTGGAGAAGGCATGCCAGAAGCTTCAAGGCATACAAAACATCCCATCCCAGAGGGTCACTGACCTTGAAGCTGCCATACGCCAACTCCGCCAGATTGGCTGTATATTGGATAGTTGTACAATCTCTGCCAGCTACGAAGTAACCCAAGCGCAGAAAGCCATACTGCTTCTGGATCATACAGCCAAAGGAGCCAGCACGTCATCGGAAGAACTTAATGCACAGATATCACCACACACTGATGACGAGCACAATCTCCCATACCATGAAGACTATTTGCAAGAGCACTAGTGAAGTGGCATTCACCGCAAACCGCAATTCTGCTGATGCTGATGCTAGAAAAAGAACTACTGAGCGGACTCTGAGTGCGCCCTGAGTGCCGTAGCTTTTGCTGTCTTTTTCACAACTAGACCATGTCTCACCCTTCTGTTTCACCGCGCTAGTTCTTCTCACCACTTTTGTTGCGACCCGGCGTTGTCGGTGTTTGCTTCAAAGTGTCAGGGTGAATGTCATGCCTGGACGGCTGCTCTGTGTGATCTCGGGGATCCTGGCTGGGGGCATCCCTGGTTTCGGCATTGAGCTTTGTTGCTTCTTGCACCCGCTGAATTGGCCCTTGTTCTTGGCGTGTCTCTTTGTCTTGTTGTTTTTTGGGGCCATCATTATCATGACACACAAGCTGTCATCATGCATGGAATGAGATGATACTAAGTTATCACCTCTTGCAATTATCCGTGTCACCCTTTAACTGGCACCTGTCACGTCACTGTGTTTTTTTTTGTTTTGTTTGGTTTGTGTGTTTTGGGTGTGTGTTTTTGTGTTTTTGTTTTTTGTTGGTTTTTGGTGTCTTGTTTTGTGTTGTTTCGGTTTGCTTTGTGGTGATGACTTGTGACGGGAACAGGACTATATATCGGTCCTACACCAGTTTGCTTTTGAGGCCACTCTACCGCAGACGGCTTACGCATGACTTAATTAATCAATTAACTCTTATTTGCAACATGCAATAAAACATGTTGAACGACCTGGCGGAAGCCATGAAGGCGTTGGACGGAAAAAAACTCGAGGAGCTCCACGCTTGCAAGCCTGCATCAATGCTGTCAAGCTAGCGATCATCGCTAGCTCGATCGCATTGGATTCAGTTTTGAAAGCGGTATGCACCGCAAGAGTGCACTACAGCTCCCAATGATGATGATGCTTGGAAAAGAATAACTGAGCGGACTCTGAGTGTGCCCTGAGTGCCGTAGCTTTTGCTGTCATTTTCACCTTAGATCTTGTTTCACCTTCCTGTTTCACCGTTTTTCGTTTCTCCGCACTCTCGTTGCGACCCGGCGTTGTCGGTGTTTGCTTCGAAGTGCCTGGGTGTAATGTCATGCCTGTACGGCTGCTCTTTGTGATCTCGGGGATCCTGGCTGGGGGGATCCCTGGTTTCCGCATGGAGCTTTGTTGCTTCTCTCACCCACCAACATGGCCCATTGGTGTGTTTTGTGGCTCCTCTGTTCTGCTTCTTGTTTTGGGCCATTCTCAAAATGACACATAAGATGTTATCATGCATGTAATTCCCATTGCTGGTGGCGATCCCACTTCTCTGTGTCGTTTTTGTTTTGGTTTTGTTGTGGTTGTGTGTTTTTTGCCTGTTTTTGCTTTGTTGTTTTTGGTTTGCTTTCTTGTCTGTTTTCTTGCTGGGACAGCTTCTGGACTGCGTACTGGTCCACTACCAGCACTTTTGTGGCTTTCGACAAGTTGACAGCCCTGCATGTAAATTACAATTCAGCTGTTTGCCGCGATTGAATGTGTGTAACGACCTGGCGGAAGCCATGAAGGCGTTGGACGGAAAAAAAAGATCTGCACTGTTCTCACTACAACTCGAAACGGGTGAGCATCCTTTGGGACCGGGTATCTTCCTGATCCGTCAGTCAAGGAGCCTGGACCTGTGGGGACCAAATACAGTCGGGTGATCCAGGCCCCTCTAGAAGCTGGACTGCTGAATGCAGCCAGCTGTACTATATCCTCAGCTGTCTCTGCCAGCGCGGTCAGGAGTTGTAAGGTAATACTCTGACATGAACGCTCTACCTGCATTAGGTCTCTGTCAAGCGTGCTGTATGACAATTGTAAACCTGACACTTCTTCCGGAAAGAGAGTGACAAGACCACTTTGCATTAGCCTGACCGTTCGTCGAAGGTCTCGTAGGGTGGTTGTCAGATCTTGGGCTGCTTCCAGGCGATAGAGGATTATTCTGACCGATGGCGGTGCCTGGTAGCCACGTTGTCTGAATCGCGCAAAAGCCATGGGTCACATTTGGCATGAAAAAACACGTGCGGTTTCTGCAGTGTATGTTATAACTGCTTGATGAAATCTGCTGGAGAAAATAAGCCAGCCGGAGCAGTCTGCAACCAGACAGGCAAACCTCTGGGAAACAAAAACAAACGCGTTGGTTGGCTGATGGTATTCCCTACAAATAAATAACTTTAAAGGTGAGAGGAGGGTGGTAGTCAATCCAAGCAATTCGTCAACCTACGCAGTGGGGAGATACTACCTGCTTTCATGAGCCAACGCTGTAGAGCAAGTGTCAGGATCATCATTTATGCTAGTCTGAGTCTAGTAAGCATCATAGCCAAAGCGGCTATCACTTGTTCACACTTGTTAGCACTTTCCGACTCGCATCTCCCTTCCCAGCATTTTCTGGCGCACCAAAACTAGGTCCACAGGGACAGCACTACTCTGTGAAACAGTAGATTAGCCATTGACAAGAGCTGCATAGGCTTCACTGAGCATGTGCCAACTTTGCTGCACACGGTAGATAGCCTGGTTTGCTTCATGTACTAGATCATTGTGTTGCTTCTGCAGAAGGTGTATACCTTCACTTAAGTGGAAAATTCTATCAGCTTCACTAGAGTTATTGGGGAACCTCCCAGCAATTGCATCTCGGTAGACTTGGGATGCACGAAAGTCAAAACAGGACCGATCATCTTCATGCATTGCACTATTGATCCTGGCATGGTCCGTGAGGGCAATTCCTTCTGCCTGAGGGGCATAAACTTCGATGCGGTTCCCTAGCAAGTTGTAGGCGTGCATAACTTCTGCTATGATGGCACATTGTTGGGCACTACGCGCCACAAAGCGAATCGGCATGAATTTGCCCAACATGCGTAGCCGTAGTGGCGACTTTCCTGCAAAGGGGTAAAAGCCTCGTCCTGCTACTTCTACCCAGACCTGCAGGCAGTCCTCGTCTGTTTCATCAATAAGAACTTTGTGAAAACCATGAGGTAAGCGGTCTCGTGTTCGGACATTCACATCCTGTGGGAGCCACGTTTCATCGTCAGCCCATAGTATATTCCACTTCTCCATGTGGACCCAGACCCATGCTTCCAGAAGATTGAAGGGCACACACCCGATCTCCGTATTCTTCCAGTAGCGGTGCATGGGAAAATTTCCACGATGCAGACACATCATGGTATTAGAATTGTTGGCTACGGTGTCCACCGTATAGCCTTTCCAGTGATAATTCTCAAGGAAGGTCACGAAAGGCGATGCCATGGCTGGTCCTACGTCCAAAAATGGCGTACACCCCCAAGTATTAATCCAAACAAGAACCAATGCAGGAGACCATCGATCAGGGAAATAGAGGATCGACATCGTTAAGAGTTTGCAGGGGCCCACTGCTTAGGAAAACCACTGTGGCCTGACAGGTGCAATCCCGACACGTCTGCGGCCGGAAAGGCACCGTGTGCAGGGCAATCTGTTGGTATGTTGACTAAGTTGATGCAATAGACTACTACAGAAGCCAACACAGACATAGAGGGAGCGAGGTGGAAAGCAGACAGTCTACTGAAATCAGTTAGATTTCCAGCAAATAAGTCAGAGGGGATTCTTCTCTGTAATAAGGTATAGCCTGCTGTCTCGCTAGTGTTTGAGCCAAAAAAGGATAGTGCAAGTGAGCATACTACACAGACAAACCAAAGTTCAAACACATGAAAACCTTCAGCAAGTATCGGCTGCAAAGCTGTCAACAAACCAAGTACGAAACACCAATCTTGAGACAGTCCTGTTAATTGTACAGGCCGACGGAGTTGTATGTTCATCGGTCTGTGACTGTGTATCGTAGTTATGTGCTCACTTCCCCATCTATGAGGAAACTGCCATGCGCTTGTTTTAAGCCTCTCTTCCTCATACGACCGCGATCTGTGTTGTAAGCAAGTGCGCTATGCTACTCATGCCTCTGAGTTAAAATCCGAACCGAATTCGTCCTCCTTGTGGAGTTGCCGGTCTTGCATTAGGGCTTTCTGCGCTTCTTCTACTTTAGCTGCACGCTCTTTCTGATAATTCACCGCGCTTTGTTCCAACCGTGCTAGATCCTGCTGTCCTCTAGCTAGCTCGCTCAGCAGGTGTTCGGGGATCTCCGGAAGGGTTGCTACTGATAGGACAGCTTGATTGATCGATTCAGCTGCGCTGTGAACAGTTTCTCGAAGCATACTGCTCACAGTGTATTCACTGATTGCTGTTGCCACACGAATCAGTTTGGCCTCCTCCATGGCTTTTGAAACTGGCCAGGTTGGATTGGTGCTCTATCAGTCGTATTACTTGTAAAATTCCACATACAGGAGCAGGGCTCGGGGAAAGGCAGGAAATAAAAAGGAGGAAACGGTCACCAAAGGAAGTAAGACAATTAACGAATTAGCGAAGCAGTAGGGTAACCTGACAGGTGCAATCCCGACACGTCTGCGGCCGGAAAGACACCGTGTACAGGTCTGAAAATAGGTTTATTGATCCAGTGTATCAGGAGGGAGCCACCACTACACTACAATCAAAGAGGAAACTAGGCAAAGATAGGGGTGAACCAACGAAGGTATGAAAACTTCATAAAAACAGCAAATCGGGGATTGTTCTTTATAGTATACTTGAAACATCCCTGGTATCAACTTTTGAGCCTGGCAAATGTTGCAGATGCACAGATAACAATACCGGCCATGAACAAATAGAAGAAGAAAACTCGTCTCACGAGTCTCTCAATCATGTCAGTACCGTTCTGTCGACAAATTGCAGTCTTTACATCAGCACTTCTAGGATCATCTGAGAATGGAGTACGACGTTGCTTGCCTTCATGGAGCACAGGAAATGGATGTCATTTTGGCACTTGGCACGCGTCAACTTAAAAACCAGACAAAAACCTAATTCTATGGCAGGTGCTAATGATGCGATGTTCATCTGCGGTGCTATAGCTCAAAAACAGTAGCTGCATACCATGTCAATTGTCTTGGCTGACATCGTAGTTGGTCCACAAACGGGCATTGCCCCAGCATGTGGTCAGTGCATATGAGAGTCACAAGTCAGTCCGACGGGGGGAATACATTTGCCCGAATATCGCGTAGTTCCTCATCTTCATCAGTAGCCAGGTCAATTTCCTGTGGGTAGGTGACAGGGATGAGTAATTCCCTTTGCGCATAGTCAAGTACCTGCATAAGATGTACTTTATAGTCAGTGGTCATATGCAGGATATCTGCTTGCTCTTTGATGCTCTCATCGAGCTTTTGTCGTATTGTCCTAGGCAGCCACGGGAGCTGTCTGACCTGCTGTTTCGCCTTGAGTAGACTATAGTGAGCACTTTGCAGGTTCTCAAGTAATGCGGCACACACTACGTAGTGTTGGGTAACCTCCTTGATGTGGACGAGTCGTTCTTCATCGATTACCGGCTCAGAGATGCTCATCACGATGGCACACACGCTAGGGTACCCACTTTATAACATGCTCACTTTTACCAATTCCGTACTGACATGTTGTTGTTACCTTGGCACCGACACTGGTAGGAAGAAGAATAACCAAGTAAACAACAGAGAGTAGGACAGGATAATGTGCAAAGAAACCAGTCGGAATCAGGCATAACAGGAAAAACAACTCGGGTAGTTCTTCTGAATATTGTTCACCCAACGACTGTAGACATGCAAGTTGATAAGCTTGAGCCATGGCGAGTGGGGTTAACCTGCACTGATGTGACACAAAGGAGAGCTGGCAGAGGGCAGGAAAAACTAATAATTGCCGACTTGTGCCTACGAACACATTCTAGTGAAGTACAAATAGTGTTCAGTAAGCCTTGCGGAGACCACACTTATTTTGGTCCTTCCCGGTCAGCGAAGCAAAGTTCAAAGGATGATGCTCGTTGGAGCAATCCTCAAGTAGCCACTCAGTCCTCCACCCTGATTGTGAATAGCTATCCTTCACTTCACAATCTTCTCGTCACCCTGGCTGGTTTGGATAGTTCGCTTGGCTTGCCGTTGGTGAAAGATAGTGGCTCGCTCTAGCATGGACAATTGGCACACAGGACCAGATAGGCCGGTCAGTGTTCTCTGCATTCGGCCATTGTCAGCCAGGAGACTGCTGGCTGTCTCTATCGCCACATGGGCCGTCGTCAGGTGGCCGATTATTTCAGATGCCTTTGTATCCTTTGGGTCAGTCTTAGTGATGACTTCTGCGAGTGCAAGCTTAATTTGGTTAAATTTAGTAGTGACCTCACTGCAGCTTGACAGTTTCCTTTTCTTTTCTACCCCAATTGCTGTGTCTTCCGCCTGAGAGAGAAAGACTGTGCAATCTTTATCTTGGGGTTTTGCAGTCATATGGTATAGTCTTCTCGTAGTTGTGGTCGCCTTGAGCATGAAAACGGCTAGTGGGCAGAGAAAAAATGGTCTTCGAGGTATCCTCATTTTGTCTGATTCTTAAACGAGAAACAGAGTAGCACCAGTTTACGGCGAGATCATTTGATAGGTCTTAGGAGAATCCTTTGTACCCTGGGCGACTGTTTGCTCCTTAGTCTGATCAGTTAGAAAGATCCTATCGATAGCTAGCTATTACATAGGATGGTTATTACCTCTCAACTAGTTATGGTGGACTTTCTTAATGCGGCGTTTGGCCGTACGCTCCACAAATGTTTCATAACCTGTAGATTGTGCTTGTGTGTTCCCACGAATTCTTCTTCCTCCCTGCGGCACAATCTGGTCTGCGCTCCCTATCCCTTCTGGCAGTACAGGCCTGGTATTCTGGTTAGGACAAACTTCACCTAAGGCGTTGTCGATTTTATTCGTCTCTGTAATCAGATTTTTAATTCGGAAGAGGGGAGTCTGCTCAAGTTGGAGTTGGTGGAGCATGGCTCGTTCCGCAGTTAAGATAGCCTCGAGGGATACTTCTTTAGTGCTAAATTGCGTAATTCCAGGTGGAAACTTTTAAAAAAGGGTTATATTTCTGGGCAAGGCTTGTTAATGTGCAATGAAGGCTGAGATAGCAACTATTGATTCAGCATGCAGTGGAAACATTTATCCGTTTGTATATGGGCAAACCACTGCAGCTGTTGAGTCAGCATGCAGTGGAAACATGTTCTTTGCATACGGGCAAAGCCACTAACCCATGTCGCAAGCTTGTTTTGGGATCTTGCAGCTGGTGGTCCAAAAACGAAATAGCAAACATGGGAGCAAATGTGAAAACTGTTCTGAGCCATGAGTTGGCGCAGGCACCGTCAGGCATCCCCATGAAAATCCACAAGATGGTGTCAGGTTCAATGTAAGACGATATGTATATGTAGTATGTTTTTTACTTTGTACCAAGAAGTTGAACTTTGACTCTCTTTCTGATGTGGAGCGAACGGCAAGCGCGTGAAGCGCTTGATGGCATACGGCAAAAGGCTGTAAAGGGGTATGACCTCTTGCTCTCAGCTGCACGCCCAGTGCTGCAGTTCGGCACCAGCATGGAGGCAGGGGCAGCCTTTAAACTTTAGACTCTGGATTCCAGACTCAAGACACAGCAACACGAACCGATAGTTTTGGTGCATGAGTTTGCTTTTGATCGGCTTAGGTGATTTAGTCAAAAATGCGGTTGTGGTCACATGGCTCATTGGCTAGCAAACAGTGCGCCGGAGGTTGAGAGCTTCAGGGAAGCGGCCATCATTTTGATGGAACTTTCACAACTGTCTTCTAACAGAATGATGATTGAGAATTTGGAGAAACAAGGCGTGTCCCTGACAGCAAAGCGAAATCATGCCTTGGTTCCCAATGTCAAAGCAATCAAGGGTGCTGGCAGACCTGCCTACAGCTTGCGGCAACTTTATCATTGCATGTCATTGATTCTTGGCCCATGTCATGATGGTGGGTGAGAACGAATGATGCTGATGTTGATGTTGATATTGAAGTTGCCGTATGGTTGGTCTGTTGGTCGGTTGCTTGGTCGGTTGGTCGACTGGTTGGTTGTGGGGTGTTGGCTGTTTGTGTTTTGTTGGTGCTGTGTGTGTTGTTTGCTTCTTGGTTGTTGGTTGCTGTTGATGATCTTGGTGATGTAAGTTGTTGAAGCCGCAGATGATGAGGGTGATGATGATGATGATGATGATGATGATGACGAGGATGATGATTGATTATGTTGAGTTAGATGCAATGAACGGAAGATGATGATTTGTTCATGAAAGCTGCCAGATGGAGGGTGGGAACCTTTTACCAGTGTTGGAGCAATCGCGCGCGCTGAGTTCTAGCTCAGTTATAGAGTCTGTATTTGGTAATTGGAACAGCATGCCCATCATGAGGAACTTGCACTTGCGCAACGCCAGCAGATTTAAGCTAGCGCTGACTACGGCAGTACAGCTGGCAACTGGTGATCTGACGTTTGATGCTGCGCAACCCGCGGATGACCCTTTCTTCAACTTAGCAGGCAGATAACAGTTTTCTTTCAGGCTGCTGCTAGAAGGCTTTTGAGGTTTTCCCGAGTCCTGTTTTGACCTTTTTTTGATTTGTTGTTTATTTTGCCTGTTATTCCTTTATTATTCAAAGCTTTTGGAAACCGGTTGATATCAAAGAAGCTGAGGATGCTGACGGCCCAAGCTCATCAACTTTCTCCCGTGCACGTTACAAACTTGATGTGCTTACTATGTATGCACGTCGCTGGTTTTGGGGATCTGCAAAGTATGAAAATCTCTTCATCAGTCTTTGCCACTTGTACTGTTCAGTTCAAGTTTTGATATCTCACGGATCATGGTCTGAAGATCACTGGGGTGTTAAGCTCGAGCTTGCGGCTCACACATGCTAGTTTAGTGACTGTGCCCAAAGGCAAGTCTTCTGTACGCCATATCAGCTCCAACTCGAGGTTACGATGCATCTGCGCAGGGGAAGGAGATGTTCATATGTGAAGAGTACACCACCTGGTGCCTCTGACTGGGCCCAGGGATCGTTGGGGGCGTGGTTGTTTCCACCAGTGGTAGAAGGAGCATCCGAACTCCCAACCATCGAAGCGAGTTGAGTCATCTTGTGTTTTAGCTTATCGGGCTTTCAGTGTGTGTGTAGTTTATATTTGTGGTTGTGGCTGGCTTGGCATCCTTTTTGGCCACGCAAAAGGACACATGGGGTGACTGAATGCCATAGCCAACTGCTAAGCTACTACTATGTGGGTATGTGGCCAATGAACGGCTTTTTCAGTAGTCAGTATCACACTTCTGATCAGAATGCAGAGACACCCGCCCAGGAGTGATGAGGCAGTCTCAGATTTTCAAGCGCTTCTTCACCACAAACATCTTCTGGAGGACGATGAAGCTGCTTGGGATGGCGTCGGTGCGGCGCAACAGTTTCAATTTCGAGAACTGTGCACAGAGGTTCGCATGCTACCCCCCATAGCGATGGGTAAAGGTTCCTTGTCTTGTAGTCATGCCACGCAGTTGTGAAGACATGATAGCAAAAAAATGCTCAGCAAACATAATTCAATGCAAAGACAAGATGTGGGGGAAAATGTTCTTCAGTACTGGACCTAACTTCATGAAGCGGAGAGTGTATAATGACTGGTACTTGCAGAGAAGAATAGGTAGATAGATAGATAGGTAGGTAGGTAGATAGATAGATAAATAGATAGGTAGATAGATAGATAGATAGGTAGATAGATAGATAGATCGAAGGACAGAGAGATAGATAGGTAGATAGATAGATAGATGGATGGATGGGTGGATGGATGGGTGGATGGATGGATGGATAGATAGATAGATAGAAGATAGACAGTTAGATAGATAGACAGATAGAAAGATAGATAGATAGATAGACAGTTAGATAGATAGATAGACAGATAGATAGATAGATAGATAGATAGATTAGATAGATAGGTACATAGATAGATTGATTGATAGATAGATAGATAGATAAACAGATAGATAGATAGATAGATAGAAAGATAGATAGAAAGATAGATTGATAGATAGGTAGATGGATGGATGGATGGATGGATCGATGGTTAGATGGATAGAGGGACAGAAGGATAGACGGAAAGATGGGTAGATGGATAGATGGGTAGACGGATAGACGGATTGCCGGATAGATGGCTAGATGGAAAGATGGATAGGTGGATAGATGGATAGATGGATGGATAGATAGATATTACTTAAGTTTTTTTCCCCACCTGTCAGGTGAGGGTTGTTAGGTCGTTAGATTTTTATCAGAACCATCTCGTCTCCTCTTCCTTCTCGTCCTCCTCTTTCGCCTCCGCCTCCTCCGCTTCCACCGCAAGTTCGCGACCACAGTGTTGGTCGCCGAACCGCCACCCCAAGTTCCAGACCCCGGTGTTGGCCGCCGGACCTCAACCGCTAACCGCATTCGATATGTCAGATAGAATGTCAGAAGATATGTCAGATAGAATGTCAGCAAATATGTCAGATAGAATGTCAGAAAATATGTCAGATAGAATGTCAGAAGATCTGTCAGATAAAATGTCAGAAGATATGTCAGGTAGAATGTCAGTAGTTATGTCAGGTTGGGGAGAAAATATGGTAGATAGAATATCAGAAGATAGGCCAGATAGAATGTCAGAAAATATGCCAGGTAGAACGCCAGAATGTATGTCAGGGTATTTGTTACGGTGGAGATCGCTCGAAGCAAAGTAATTTATTTATATCATTATTTATATTTTTTTTTTCTGGCCTATAGGGCCCAGATTTAGCAAGCAAAATTCGACAAAATGTTATGCGGACATCTGAATTTAAATTCGGATTTGATTCATAATTTCCCAGAATCAGAATCCAAAACTGATGAATCAATCCAATCCAACAGCCGGTCATCTCAGAATCTCGGTCTCCTCAGCCGGTTCAACCAGGCACAACGCAAGCAGTGCACAAATTAGATGCGCTCCTCTGGCAGATCATGCTGGAGGGTCATGCCACACAGAACCGGCAAGAAAGCTGTGACAGATACTGTCGGCAAGTCATTTGCAATCTGAGCGATCAAGGACCAGTTTGTTGGGACTTGGATGAGTATGGGGGTCGGAATGCAAAAGATCATGAAATGTTTTCAGTCTTCAACTTGAAAGTCTTCATGTTTTAATGAGCCCTCAATGAATCCCAAATGATACTACGAATTTTTACAGCATTTTGAACATAGTTCCAGGGCATTCCAGGGCTTCCTGCTCTACCGGCCCTGTTTGTTACTGTGGCCAATGGATGGTTCGGTGCTTGCCAGAGATTGTGATATTCTCGAGGGGTGCCTTGAGAACGTACCGTACATGCATTTCAATTCTGGTTACCAACTGTTGATCAAGTTGTTGTCATACCGTGTTTCGACCTTTCAGCGCTTGCCATTGTAGGTGAGCTAGGACCAGGGAAACAATTTTTGGCGTTTGGGCCTTACTGGAATATCCCCGACATCATTCATGACTCAATGACAAGTTACGGTCTTCCAAGTGTGTTCCTACTTTCACTTGCGAGGAACTGAGATGAAGCTTGCAGATCTTCACAAAGTGAACATGGACAGCCTTTCCAAGGATGTCCAGACTGACCTGTCCTACCCAAACTTGACCGGTGGCATGGGTGGAGCTGCATCACAGTCCAATGCAATGGCACATAACTTGATGCAGTTTGTACCAATGCCTCTGGATGATGACACCACAACTTCTATCATGAGGACTGAAGTTGATTAGGTTCAGTCATGGTGCAGCTAGACTTAAACGTAGGCGTAAACCAGACCAAATCTGTGAAAATGCCATGATCTCCGAATATCTATAGTAACTATATACTCTGTATACTCAATATTCTAACAAGTTCCCGATCTATTATGGCCATGTTTCAGCCGTACTTGGTGCAAGTCTAAACGAAAAGTAATTTCCAAGCATATATAAATGCATGCAGTTACATCTACACTTACTTCCATGTGTATGCATGCTACATGTATTGTAAGTATCGTTGTAAGTATCGTATATCACATATCTGGTCTCTGATAAACCGTTTACAGTTTACATGTAGGTATAAATAGCAAGTCGAAAGACCTTGGTATGTCAGTATGTCTAAATTAATTTTGTCTTCGCATTCTGTTAAATTTTAGTTATCCATTTTGCTGAGTGTAGTCTCTATTTCTTTTTTGAACCGCATCGTGAAAAGTGTAGTATTGTAAAAACTCATGTATAATGTATTATGTACCATGTACATGTAATTAAGTCATCACAGTATTCATTGCATTTATGGATTATATTGCTTGATAAGACATCATATTTCTTTGAAAGTATCTGTGAATAATGTTTATATGTATTACAAGTCTTGACGCATGTTACGTACATATGATGGAGGTACACCGAACCAAATGGGGTGCATTAAGAACATGTGACGCAGAACTGTCATGTTCCTAATGGTCCCTGCAGACCATTGGCAGCGGCCGGTGCTGAAGCTGAAGTCGGAGTACTGGGAGGGAACATTGCAGCCGGGAGAGAAGTTCCACAAGACAGCCATTCCACCGTCTCCGATCCACAATACTTGTTTCCAAATTCCTTTAAGGTAACTGGAATAAAGCACGTTTGCGACAATTTGGTGGGTGCAATTTTGGACAGCCTGCCACAGCCACTTGCTTTCATAGAGAAACCCGCAGTAATGATTCATGCACCAGGACATTTTAGTTTTTTGTTCCCTCCAACAGGGTGTTCGTGCGTACATGTCAAAGTTACATTGTATACATGTTTTTAAACAGTGTTTTGCGCTTGTGTCATTTTGGGGTTTGGGGGTGGGGGGAGGTGGGGGGGCATGGTAACGTCACGTCGCTTGAACTTGATCTTGCGATTGATGTTGCGTTGATGGAACATGACGTTCTCACGCACTGGCACGGTGCACGACATTTATTTTGACTACTCATTGGGGTCATTGGAGGTGATATTGTCATTCATGTCAAGATCTGTGGAAAGAATGTACGGGGTGTTATTTGGGGTGACGTTTTTACAGTTTACACGCTTCTGTGTGCATGTAACGATGAGATGTCTGCATCACGCGTGACAGACCGTCCGGCCGTTTTTGTTTTAATCTATCTAGTTTGCTTTGTCCCGTTCTTTTTTTCTTGATTTTTTGAGAGACTCGGTCGTAACATGCTTGTGGATGCATGACATCCTGTCCACCGTTCAGCCGTTCAGGTGGAAACCTCTACAACCGCGACTCCAGGCGCTTGACAAACTGCTTGCCACTGTGACGTGGCGAGAACGCTATGTGGCAACTTGTTTAGGGCAAGATCCTGACCGGCTCCTTGTAGAGAACTGGGCCGGCGATCGGTTGAGAAGCCTCCGGTGGCAAGTGGTGACTAACTTCTGCAAAGATGTTGCCCGACAAGAATCACAAGACAACATGAACGTGGTCAACATGTGCAATTGCTGTTCATGCGCTTGAGATCAAAGTACATCAATTTATGGTCACAGAATTCGCCTTTCACCTTCATCTTTTCAAGTCTTATTCAATATTTGTAGTTCAAGTTGCTTAGTTCTGCAGAGAACAAGGGATGCAAGTAGTGCGCTTCACGTCCAATCTAACCGAGGTCTTGCCTCTGGAATCCGTGCTGAGGAGGACTTGGAAAAAGGACCTGTACTTGACTGGTTCGTGCAACGATCCGCAAAACAAAAAGCCAAAGCCATTTTTGGTTGAAGAGGGCAGTGTGGTTACATTGGAACGTATCACCGAATTGATGGGTGACAATTACTCATGGGCAACAATAGCTTTAATTGCTCAGGTTGCGGGTGAAGCCGAATTGGTGGGCCGGTGGGCAGAGGGCTGTCCGTGTGATGAGCATCAGCCTCAGCCAATTCATGAATCAGCGTTAGTCCCCAATGACCCATCAACAAAGGCCGCTGGGAAAAGGCCTAGGAGACTCAAGCGGCTTGCTGCTCGTCCCACTGGTGGTGGTGAGAGCTGTTGTTTTCGTGGTTGCCGTGCCCCAGAGCTAGCAGCAGGGAAAGCTCTAAAGTTGCAGTCGGTAGTCATGAAATCATCCCAGTCAATGGTTGCTGAGTTTATCTCACGTGCACCTGAGCAGAAACGTTCTGAGCTGCATGGTTCCTGGTCAAAAGCACGGGGGCAACTATGGGGACCCTTGTCATGTCTTAACAAATTTCTCGAACTTTTGATTTGATTGCCAAACAACTTGGTTGATCAGGAATTTGGGGGGTTGGGCTGTAGTCGGTGGTGACCGGTGAGTCACCCAATATTCAATGAAAGACTCAGGACAGTTGAACGTGAAGCTGGCATACTGCTTGCAGTTGCCTTGGTTGCTATGTCCGAATCCCAGTGTCCTGCTGCTACTGCTGCTGCTACTGCTACTGCTGCTACTACTGCTACTGCTACTGCTACTGCTACTGCTACTACTACTACTACTACTGCTACTGCTACTACTGCTACTGCTACTGCTACTGCTACTGCTACTGCTGCTACTATTCTTGTGATTTGTACGACTACTGCGGCTGCTGCTACTGCTACTGCTGCTACTGCTACTACTACTACTACTACCACTACTACTACTACTACTAATACTACTACTACTACTAATACTACTACTACTACTATTATTACGGTTGCGGGTAGTCCTGCCAATGTTTGCTACTGTTACGATTATGGGTACGACAACGCACAAGTTGCATGAGCAGCGGCATGTTTCAATTTGGTCGTGGCTTCTTCTCATTTTGCTCGTGGCTTATTTTGACCATTTTCCCAACTGCATGTCAGGGAAAAGGCACAGATCAACAATTGTGTTCATGCTGTGACAAATGCCACTGGCTATGTTTACCTGTTTTCTTCTCAGCCAAACATAACTTATCTCCACCATTGCCTCATGCCCCTTTCAACCCTTGAGGTGGCTTGGCGTATGGTGACTCCCGCGCCGTCCAGCAGGTTGCTGTGAGGTGCTTGAGCCTTTTTGATGGGAAGGCGGCAGGCGCTGAACATACGCAATCGCGTCGGTTCTGTGATCCGGACTGGAGTGGGATACCATCAGGGCCTAAAGAGCCACCACTGCGCTACCTCCTGGAGAAGTTAGCATCAGCTAAAATCACCTTGCATGATCTTGTGACTGAAGACAGCGAACCAGTCAAGCTGTTCTTCTACTGGGTCTCATCATTCCGCCTTGTCCGGGTCTCAACTTTACCATCATTCTGTCAAGTTTGGCTGATAGGCAGAGGGTTGGTGAACGCAATTGTCTCTTTAGCCGGTGCCCTGATCCCTGTAAAGTCCGTGTGTGCTGAAGGTCCGCATTGCAGAACGCTCTGTGGAAGGCCGGCACAGCCTGATACACCGTATCAGGGAGCGAGCGCCGGCGGCTTCTATGGCGTACTTGTCTTGCGAGGTGAGATTCAAACACCTCCAAATGCTTGCAGCCACAAATCCTAAAGCACTGATGGAAATGACCAAGCGTTTACACGGGATGGAGACCAGTCTTGGTTTTCATGCGGCTGTTTTGTTCCTTGCTAAGATTTCAGAAACAGGTTTGGTCGGTTTGGTTTCACTTTGGTTTCATATCCTGCTTCGCATATCCCATGTTATTGTTTGTTTGGTTTGCCAGTCTGGTGGATTTTGTTTCTATTGCGTTGATGATCTGACTGTAGCTAGGTCATTGCTCGGAATGCAACCAACAGAATACTTGATGGGGCTACCAGACGCTGAGCTCGCCAAGCTCATCTACAGAGATGATATCACCATCAAACATGCAAGTCGCCAACGGCTAGCGGATGAATTGCAAGATAAAGCCGATGGGTCAGCCAAAAACCCCGAAAAAATGGCAGTTTGTGACACGAATGAGAAAACACAGGGGGCAGGCGCACTATCGAAAGCATTGGTCCAATACCTGCTCAAGGCCGGAGGGGTGTATGCTGTGCGAGTTGTTTCGTATTACTGTATATAGAGCGGTTTGGAATGGGATAATCACCCGTCGCTCGCCACCACTCATTGAGTAAAGCAGTATTAATTCCAGACAATAGCTGTACAGCAGTAGATATACCATCCGACCAGCCTCGCGGCTCTCTGCTGCAGGTTTCCAGGGTGAAGCCAGATGCGATATTTGCTTGGGACGCAAGATCAATGGAGGGAGTTGGGTTGACCACTGTAGATGCTGCTAGAATCACAACAGGACTGACTGACCAATTTGTATCAGATGTTGATGTACAACACTGTATTGGAGCTTTAAAAAAAAAACAAGCGAGACTGGTTCGATTGTTAAGTGTAGTTTTCTTTCAGACAAAAATAGTTTTCCAAGTTCAATCAGCTGCCTTTTTTGTGAAGCGGGGGTTGGGACATCGTTTGGCTAGGACCAGCTGCAATCACAAGGCCGCCAGTGTTGGAGGGCGATTCGTGGATAGTTTCCCTGCAAGGTTCAACTGGTTCAACAAGATCTTGCATGAGTTTGAGTCAGCTGTCTTCCCTGGTTCTTTTGAAAAACAATGGTGTCCCAATGGACAAGTCTAGCCTTCCTGATGATTCGTTGAGCCATATGTTCTTCGGAAAGCCAGTGGAAGGGAATCTGGCGCATCATACAGTGATGGGACAGCAACTGCAGAAGTTTGACTTCTTGGTTCAGCCATTTGCTTTGGTGGAAGCTGAGTGGGATGATGAAACGCACACATGGACGTCAATCACATTGATCCAACATGGCGCCCCGATGACATGCCGATTGGGTCACATCCCTTTTGACACCCTGTCCAAGAATCTGAACGTGTGGACATCCCCTGAGACTGGATACCGGGTATTTCTCAAAATGCCATTTGGATGACATTGCATGACTTGTGCGTGTTCAGTTTCTTTTTGTTTCGGTGGTGGACCTTAAGGTTCCTAGGTTCATGCCATGTTGCTGCCTCACCCCATCCACTCCCAGCTGCACGAGCGTTTGAGCCCAGGCCATCCATTTCTTCCGAGCTACTGCTTTCCATGGCCGTGGCTGGCGCGTTCTGGCGACACGGAAACGCATTCTTTGTTCGCCCAGAAGATGAGGGTTTGGATTTCTTACTGGAACAAAAACTCGTAGGTCCCTGAGTATGGTTGATTGGACTGACTGTGAATTTGATGGTCTTCAAACTGCATCTTCAAATTGTTGGAAATCATGTTTCTTCTTTATTTTGTTCTTGTCACTATATTTCACTGCAGGTTGGGAAAAAGGATTCCTCAGATCTCGACATGTTCAATATTACGATTCATGGAGCAAAAGTGCTCAATGTATCCCAAACCTTCAGCACCTGCACTCTTTTGGCCGGTTTCAACTTGGACACCGTGTCTACATCCGAGCTGGATTTCAAGACCATGACAGAGTTTGAGCATGTGCTTCAGTTGACTTCCCTTGGGTGGCAATATGAGTGTAAGAGCCTGACCAAAAAGATTCACCCATATACTGAAACAAGTGAGAAGACATGGTTCTACCAAAATGAAGCCCGTGTCAACAAGAATTACTTGGAGGTCCTCATCAAATCTCAAGCGTTGTTCCAGAAGGGTCTCAAGGAAATACACCATTTCCAGAAGAAGCGTTATTACGTAGCGCTACTCCAAGTACCTGACAAAGAGTTGAATCAACTTCTTCCATGGCAACCCGAATCATATTACAAAGTGTTTATGAACAAGTTGAAGAACCCCAAGACAACATCTGCATCAAAGTCGAGCGGGTTGGAAACTGATGATCACCGCCGCTCGTCCTTCTAAAACCGCAGTTTGAACTTCAACCTGAACCCGAACCTATATATAAGCCTTGTATTTTTGAACTTTGGGGGAATGAACCAGGCCTTGGTGGTAAGCCCCTCTTTGCATGATCAGGCCACATGTCGTGAACCACGCCATTGCCCGCTTCAGGAATTGTCGCGCAGGCAGAACCACGGGCAAACCCTGTGCAGTCAGGCAAGGGTCGCGGGCGTGGCCGCGGTCACGGAGTCAGCCGACAAAAAGAATCGAGTTCTGGTTCAACTGACAGTAGCGGGACCAGCTCTTCTTCTTCCAGTCAGACGAGTGATGATGAGATGAATAACAGTACTCATGTTGATGAAAAGCTTGAGGTTGACGATCGACTTCAAAATTTACATGATTATCATGTGGGTCCTGTGTCGGAGAAGGTGCCGGCTGACGTGGAAATCTTGGTTGAGGATTCGGATTCAGAAAAAGATTCTGCCCTCCAACCGCAAGCACCAGCACCATCTGTGGATGCCGATGCCAGTGTGCAGGAACCTTTGCCCTTCCCGGCTGAGACACCTGCCCCCAGAAAAGGGGCGGCGGTAGCCAGGAAACGCAAAGCATCTGCCCAAGATCCTCCTGGCCGATCGGCGCCCACTGTTCCACGAGTGCTGAGGGGAGGGCCACCAAGCTCTATGTTCAACCTGTCTTCTGTATGGGTGCAGAATGTTGCATTTGTTCAACGTACCGATCAGGTGTCCCAGCACCAGACATGTTATGTTCTTAGTTCTTTGGGTTGGGAAATGGGGCTGAGGCTGTTGTGTTTTTTTTGGCTTGAAAAGCTTACGCCAAACAATCATATTTCATGACTGCGGACATGCTATATATAGGTCACTTTTGTTTTCTGTGGGTGGTTCTGCGTGTTGTGTCTACAATGCACTTGCACAAAGGTGATGGTAAAACATCATATGCATCACGCTTATGTATATTGTATGATTGTGTAGGCGCATATAGAGAGAGAGAGAGAGATAGAGATATATATATATACACATGCGACATGCACGCAGTGAATAATATTCATATAATATTGATATATATATATATATACAATTATAATTACTAGTGCATCAAGTTTGGGAGGCTTGGGTTTGCACTTATGATTTCTTATGAAAAAAAGAAGACCACCAAAATAAGAAGTCAACATAATACGACGACAGAAGCGCCGCAGACATGACACCATGGCAACATGGCAGCATGACAGCAGCATCCCACACCTTCTTTCTTCTCGGTAAGTCCTTGTCTATCCTTCTCCATACATAGCATCACGGCAACAGACATGGCAGCATCCCCGCACTCCTTTTCTATGTAAGTCGCTCCTTGCTTCTTCTTCTCCCCTTGTATGAACGGTGAGTGACTAAATGCAAATATATAAGTATATACGATTTTTTTTCGCTATATGTTGCAGGTTCCTGGGCGCATGGTTTGTGTGAACACTTGTCAGCCCAGGGAAAGCCGAGCTACTATGTGCGGTGCCCTTTGCATGGTACGAAGTTGAGGTCCTGTACCAAAACAAAGACGGTCGGAGATGACACTGAGCATGGGCGTGATCTGGTGATCCGCCAGCTCATGGACTGGCTTTTGAGAGGACGTCATTTAAGTCGAATTCTGTCACAATTTGAATGGTGCTCCACATAAGGCACCGCACAGCTCACAGTGATGCACTGAAGTTGTTCTTTTTGAAGCCGTTCAGGATTTGAGATGGAGACTGCTAATCAGACTCCTGAAGAGATTCGGTCGCAGCATGTGCGACTGGTAGCTCAACTTGAATGATGGAACATGTAACTGTGCGCCTAAGTAACCAAAGCTTGTTTCTTACAGCCTCCGTATTCATGTTGGAGTCGATTACTCTCATATCACACAGCCTGTCCTGAGGCACTCCGGCCCTTGGAGCAACTTCCACTGCGGGGATCGTTAGAAGAAGCCTTGACCACAAAACTGAATGCAATGCCATAATTTGCTAGCTCTGCAAAGTAGAGCTACGTATGAAATCTCAAGAGAAGGTTCAGATTTCTCAGTGAGGAAGTCTTGGTACAGTATGCATGACTAGCTACAAACTGATGATGCATGTGGAGATAAATCATTTGCAGAACCGAGAACAATGACCCTGGGCATGACCCTGTGCAACAGTGCGTTCGCAGTTCACCGGTTCATTTTGTTGACATGTTCCACGACGCTAGCGCTTAGTTGATATGCTTAAAGTTTATGGATATGATTGACTTTGATGGCGCGCTGATGTGTTTAAAGCTCCAGTCTTTAGATATATCCTAATCAAGTTCGCGCCTTGGTGGATACGTCTTTGAGCCATGGATGGTTCTAGTTCAATGGTTGGAACTGCAAGCGCTGCCAACACCACGGTGAGCCAATCAACCATGTCTACGTCATTAGTGGAGACAGTGGCTTTCTCGTTTGGTAGTGCCCTAGATGAGAAAGTTGTGGGGAAGCTGGTCATCACAAACAAGTTGGGATCGAATGGTGCTTCTAGCAGTGAGTCGGAAACAGAAGATCATGGTCATGCACCCGAACCTGGCATGGGAGACTTGCCCCACAATCAATCAGGTGCGTTGCAACCTTCGCGAGGTTCAGAACCATATCCTCTTCTTCATGCTCAGTCGGGGACCCGTGGCCAATCGCAACTGGTTTATGGCCCCGTTCCCAAGGGGTCCATTGAAAAGTTTTTTGCCAAAAGGCAAAGCTAATTTGTTTGCACAATAGATGCAAATGTGGTACATTAGTACATAAAAACTCGTTGACGTCAGGCGCTGAGAAATAAGCCGGACACCTACTGAGAACCGAACATGAAAGCTGAACATGAACATGAGTTAAGAATCATTTTTTTCAAAAAGCAATCATTAATCCATTGAAAACAACTTCCAAAAACCAAACCAAAGACAACCGATAAGCTACTTAGCTACTTAAATACTAAAGTGGAAGCCAAAAAGATATTGTCAACTTGGCCAAAAAGACTACTTTGTCTCCCCCGGCAAAGGCGACCACAACGGTGCACTGGTCCTGTTGTTTGAACCCAAATAAATTTTCATTTTTTGGAACTATAATTTTGAAATCCTTTTTCAAAAGTGTTTCACCAAATATAATGCCAAAGAAAAAATATAGTTTCTTTTTTTTTGGAACTATAATTTTGAAATCCTTTTTCAAAAGTGTTTCACCAAATATAATGCCAAAAAAAAATATAGTTCCTTTTTTTTGGAACTATAATTTTGAAATCCTTTTTCGAAAGCGGTTCACCAAATATAATGCCAAAAAAATATAGTTCCTTTTTTTTTGGAACTATAATTTTGGAATCCTTTTTCAAAAGTGTTTCACCAAATATAATGCCAAAAAAAAAATATAGTTCCTTTTTTTTGGAACTATAATTTTGAAATCCTTTTTCAAAAGTGGTTCACCAAATATAATGCCGAAAAAAAAAAAAATAGTTCCTTTTTTTTTGGAACTATAATTTTGAAATCCTTTTCCAAACGTGTTTCACCAAATATAATGCCAAAAAAAATATAGTTCCTTTTTTTTTGGAACTATAATTTTGAAATCCTTTTTCGAAGGTGTTTCACCAAATATAATGCCAAAAAAAAATATAGTTCCTTTTTTTTTGGAACTATAATTTTGAAATCCTTTTTCAAAAGTGTTTCACCAAATATAATGCCAAAAAAATATAGTTCCTTTTTTTTTGGAACTATAATTTTGAAATCCTTTTTCAAAAAGTTTTCAAATATAATGCCAAAAAAATATAGTTCCGTTTTTTTTGGAATCTATAATTTTGAAATCCTTTTTCAAAAGTGTTTCACCAAATATAATGCCAAAAAAAATATAGTTCCTTTTTTTTTGGAACTATAATTTTGAAATCCTTTTTCAAAAGTGTTTCACCAAATATAATGCCAAAAAAACATATAGTTCCTTTTTTTTTGGAACTATAATTTTGAAATCCTTTTCCAAAAGTGTTTCACCAAATATAATGCCAAAAAAAATATAGTTCCTTTTTTTTTGGAACTATAATCTTGAAATCCTTTTTCAAAAGTGTTCACCAAATATAATGCCAAAAAAAAATATAGTTCCTTTTTTTTTGGAACTATAATTTTGAAATCCTTTTTCAAAAGTGCGTCACCAAATATAATGCCAAAAAAAAATATAGTTCCTTTTTTTTTGGAACTATAATTTTGAAATCCTTTTTCAAAAGTGTTTCACCAAATATAATGCCAAAAAAAAATATAGTTCCTTTTTTTTTGGAACTATAATTTTGAAATCCTTTTTCAAAAGTGGTTCACCAAATATAATGCCAAAAAAAAATATAGTTCCTTTTTTTTTGGAACTATAATTTTGAAATCCTTTTTCAAAAGTGTTTCACCAAATATAATGCCAAAAAAAAATATAGTTCCTTTTTTTTTGGAACTATAATTTTGAAATCCTTTTTCAAAAGTGGTTCACCAAATATAATGCCGAAAAAAAATATAGTTCCTTTTTTTTTGGAACTATAATTTTGAAATCCTTTTTCAAAAGTGCTTCACCAAATATAGTGCCAAAAAAATTGCTAATACAAAACATGGTTTTTTTCAGCAAAATTGGGCCCAAAACAGTGACAATGTATTAGCAACATTTCTAGAAAAAAGCATTATAAATTATAGTTCCAAAAAAAAGGAACTATATTTTTTTTGGCATTATATTTGTTGAACCACTTTTGAAAAAGGATTTCAAAATTATAGTTCCAAAAAAAAAGGAATTATATTTTTTTTGGCATTATATTTGGTGAAACGCTTTTGAAAAAGGATTTCAAAATTATAGTTCCAAAAAAAAAGGAACTATATTTTTTTTGGCATTATACTTGGTGAAACACTTTTGAAAAAGGATCTCAAAATTATAGTTCCAAAAAAAAAGGAACTATATTTTTTTTTGGCATTATATTTGGTGAAGCACTTTTGAAAAGGATTTCAAAATTATAGTTCCAAAAAAAAAGGAACTATATTTTTTTTTGGCATTATATTTGGTGAAACACTTTTGAAAAAGGATTTCAAAATTATAGTTCCAAAAAAAAAGGAACTATATTTTTTTTTGGCATTATATTTGGTGAAACACTTTTGAAAAAGGATTTCAAAATTATAGTTCCAAAAAAAAAGGAACTATATTTTTTTTTGGCAAACTTTTGAAAAAGGATTTCAAAATTATAGTTCCAAAAAAAAAGGAACTATATTTTTTTTGGCATTATATTTGGTGAAACACTTTTGAAAAAGGATTTCAAAATTATAGTTCCAAAAAAAAGGAACTATATTTTTTTTGGCATTATATTTTGTGAAACACTTTTGAAAAAGGATTTCAAGATTATAGTTCCAAAAAAAAAGGAACGATATTTTTTTTGGCATTATATTTGGTGAACCACTTTTGAAAAAGGATTTCAAAATTATAGTTCCAAAAAAAAGGAACTATATTTTTTTGGCATTATATTTGGTGAAACACTTTTGAAAAGGATTTCAAATTATAGTTCCAAAAAAAAGGAACTATATTTTTTTTGGCATTATATTTGTGAAACACTTTTGAAAAAGGATTTCAAAATTATAGTTCCAAAAAAAAGGAACTATATTTTTTTTTGGCATTATATTTGGTGAAGCACTTTTGAAAAAGGATTTCAAGATTATAGTTCCCAAAAAAAGGAACTATATTTTTTTTGGCATTATATTTGGTGAAACACTTTTGAAATAGGATTTCAAAATTATAGTTCCAAAAAAAAAGGAACTATATTTTTTTTGGCATTATATTTGGTGAAACACTTTTGAAAAAGGATTTCAAAATTATAGTTCCAAAAAAAAAGGAACTATATTTTTTTTTGGCATTATATTTGGTGAACCGCTTTCGAAAAAGGATTTCAAAATTATAGTTCCAAAAAAAAAGGAACTATATTTTTTTTGGCATTATATTTGGTGAAACACTTTCGAAAAAGGATTTCAAAATTATAGTTCCAAAAAAAAAGGAACTATATTTTTTTTTTGGCATTATATTTGGTGAAACACTTTTGAAAAAGGATCTCAAAATTATAGTTCCAAAAAAAAAGGAACTATATTTTTTTCGGCATTATATTTGGTGAAACGCTTTTGAAAAATGTTTTTCAAATTATAGTTCATTTCTTTTAAAAAATATTTTTTGGGGAAACACTTTTGAAAAAGGTTTTCAAAGTTATAGTTCCAAAAAAAAGGAACTATTTTTTGTGGAGTTTTGAAACACACCTGAATAAACAAGGCTTCAATTTTTTTGAACCAAAAACGGTCATTTGTATGTGTGCAACACATGGAGAAAACGCAACCTAATTCCAAACCAGCAAGGCCAGCAATCAAAAGGTTTCGGTGCTTTGTCAGCCAACAAAAAAGAGGGAAACATGTTTGGAGGGCTTTAGCGGTTTAGCTTCTTTGTGTGCGTACTTCTGCATTTGTGTCATTGACCTCTTCATGGCATGCGCTGCATTTGTCATTGTCGCTGTGATGCTTCTGAGGCCATAGTCCTCGTTTCATCACTGCTAGACACGGTAGCGCGTAGAGAGAATGCACCATGTCTGATTCCGATTTGAACGGTCCGTCCGAATCCCCGGACAGTGGCACTGGTGAAGGTAACTCAGATTACACTTCTGACAGTGATGACAGTGACTCGAGTTCGTCCAGTGGTACAAATTCTTCTTCGGATGTGGCGACCAAACACGCTTCTTGGTTTGTGGTGTTGGTCTGGTACCAAAGTGTGTCATGAGAATCAAGAACATTTATTTTGTGGAGACATATGGTTGACTGCGGCTTGCTCATGTCATCCCAAACTCTTTCAGGTTTCCAGCCCTGCCAATGCTGGTGGCACTTCAGAAAGTTGTCACACTGTCTATGACAAGGCAAGGTTCTTTGTTCGCTACCATAAGGTTGGATTTGGTTGGGGCCTATGTTGAGCAATTTTTCGGGTGTATGTTGGGTTAAAAGCACAAGTTCGATTGGGTCCTTCATTAATGGCCTAGCTCGAGAGGGGGTTCTTGGGCGGTTAGGTTGTATCATTCGGGGCCCATGCAGGGGCACTGAATTGGTAATAATTTTAGGTGTATGGGAGGGAGTGAGCTATACAGCCTTTTGGTGGCTTTGTCGGGCAAAAAACGATTTGGATCAATCCGAATCCCAATGGGCAAGTTTTTGTGTTGGGGTTGCATTCCCGCCGACCCCACAAACATCGTGAACTTTTACACTCACTACAATTTTAAATCTATGTTTGGGCCAGCCTTCAAAATTCAAGCTTATGGCTTATGTTATGTCGGGTCCAAATTTACAATGGGGTGCTTGCAGGGGTTTTTGGCACATCAACGCAGTGGTGATTAACAGCAGTTTGCCTGATGGCCCGACTTCGCTCGACGAGTTGTTCGACTGGCCCTGGCGTTATGCACAGCAGCTGTTGGTTCACCATGAAAAGAAAAACACGTTCAGGGCCACCTTTGCCGAAAATTCCAAGTATAACATCAATGTGACAGAATCGTATGCTGGCATGGGCACTGGCTCTTACACACTTCACCATCAGTTCAATGCACTTAAAGGTCGCTCGTCTCACACATACATGCATGCATGCATACATACGACATACACTGATAAATGCATCGTTGCACATGTTTCAAAGCAAATGTTTCACCACTTTGTTTTTGTTTGCACTGTATCTAGTACTGCATCATGATGTGATGTAAAATGTCAGCTTGCTGCATCTGAACTGAACTAAGGTGTGCTGAGGGAATCGGACCGTGGTGATGGCACCACACCCGGGTGTGGATCCGTTCGCAGCATTTCAGCATATGATGTTGATGCTCATTGTCAGAAAGTTTTGGCGTCTCTATCTGAGGAGAGGGGTCCCACTTACCATGTGAAATCTAAAAAAGTGTTTGCGATCTGGTTTTGAAATTTGGATGTTGGGGATTGGTTTTAATTTGATGTGTATGCTTGATCAATGTGTGCTATTTGTGTGTTGTCACCCCCATTGCCTTCGCAGGAAGTTCGTCCTCTCCATGTTGGCGGGGCTTTGGAGGACAGGCTGGCCCCTGGTGTCCACATGCAGCTTGAAATCATCAAGAACAAAGTTCAGTCAGATCTCAGCAAGCAACTGAGTCATGGCCCCAACTGGTAAGAACCATTTGACAGCTTGATGCAGAACTGTTTTGGTTCACTTGAACTGGTTTGGTTGTGTGTGTCGAACTGCGGCATACTTCAGTTAGTCAGTCCCCAGGATTTTGGTCTTGAATTTGACTGTAGCTGCTCAGGTCAACTGCATCAGAAGAAGCAAGACTACACTGCCAAGGGCTTGGCAGAGCAAGAACAAAAAATTAAAGAAGATAGTGGCAACTTGTTGATGAACAAGTACATGGCGTTCTTGTTGTCAACAAAAGACAATTTCATGCAAACTGCCACTTGCTACTCGTGTGGCCGGCGTACTGATGCCACATCTCCTCCAAAGAAGAGAGCAAAAAAAGTAGTTGGTGAGGAGGAGTGAACTAATTCCATGTTGACTATGGCAGTCAAGTTGTCGCTGTTTCAAGATGTCAACTACTCACAGAAGTCAGGAGTCTTTTGCCTTGTGAGAATTTTGCCCATTGCGGCCTTTTGCAGGATTGCAGCCGGTGCCCAACACCTGTGGGTATGGCGTCAGGGCAGGTTGGTGCAACACGAAGCACTCTCAATGTTGCAGTAGCCGGGACCACATGTGTTGATGTCAGTCCGATAGGAACCTCTTCTGAATTTGGTTGGGGATCAGTTTGGAGTGAACCAGCTCACGTGATTCTACTGTTTTTCACTTGCAACTGCTTATCTTTCAACCCTTTGTTGCCATTTGACAAGACGGCCCTAAGGAAAAGGCCAAAAGTTGCTGGGTGACTCCAGCATGTCACTGGCTGTTTGGTTAGCCGAGAGGGTTTTTGCGGGTGAAGAAACATGTCTGAGTTTAACGTGAACTGAGTTTGCACACGCAGAACTGTCAACGAGCGCAATAATGACATGAAAGATGACAGTCATTGTAGACTGGCTTCGTTTTCCTAGGATGTGATCGTGCACGAATGCTCAACACGATTCGACCTTCGTGTGTTCCAGCAGTTCCTCCCAAACTACACAATCCATCGATTGTACCAAAAGGACATTGTAGTTTTACATAGTTTGACCCATGGATCAGTGCACGGTCTTGAAGCATTTAGTAAATCATTTACAGCCGACGATGTATAATACAGCTCGCGTCTTCAATCTGCTGGCAGGACAAGCCGCTATCGGCGTGCTTTCTTTCACCGCATCACTTCGGGTGGCCTTGCCATCGCCCACGGGCATTTTCGGTTCTGACCCGAAATGACACAGTCTTTTTGTCTGAAGAGGGGCTTCAAGTCATCGAGTCGCTTTTTGTTAAGCCTGTGCTTCCAGCTTCGTCATTGTATTGTGCACCACAGGAGATCCTTCGATGCTCACAGACTCGTAAGTCATGATTCGAATCCTTCAGTTACAGTTGCAGTTCCTTTGCAATATCTTGCTTTACCAATCATCTCTGCCTGCATGCGAAAACATTGGCATATGCAAATGCAACGGTGGGGCTTTGCCAGCAGACACGCACATATGATTATAAGACTATGAGACTATATGCTATCTCTCTTGTGTCTATCTTCTGCGCTGCAAATCTGATTGTCCAGTGTGCGCATGTCTGTTTGTAAGACCAATGACCTGTTGGACGCAGGATGAAGTGGAGAAGGAGCGAATTGCTTGTGCCCACAGGCTGTGTCGCCCACTGGCAAGTCCATTCCGGAATCTTTTGGCAGGAGGGACCGTGTTGTTGCTCTCCTCGTGTTCTAGCCACCGTACAGTCGCAATATTGTTTGGCTTTACTTCAGGTCGACTTTACATGTAGGTTTGGGTTGGTCGTTTGGGAATCTGGGAAATTAGCTTGGTCTGGATGGAAAAATTGCATGTTTTCAAAATGAATGCTTTCGGTGGAAAAAAGAACCAGGGCATTAGTGTGCATGCAAAATTGCTGCAAATGGCAATGCAGGTATTAATGCAACAAGCGGAAAAGAATATGTTTGTTTTTCGTTTTCCTTTCGGTTACTGTATTTTTTTTTGTATGTTCCCTTTACAAGTTTTTGCTGTGCCATACTGCCGAGAGTCGAGAGGAGAGAAACCATTGTGGGTGGATCACTACCGTCGCCTTGACAAAGTGCGCCGTTTTTTCGATGGAGGACGTGCATTGCCGTTGCGGTGCCAAGTTTTGATGTTTGTTGGCTTTTGTGGTATTTTGCCGCCTGCAGAGCTAGGGCTCGTGTTTTTAGTGTTTCTTCGGTTGGGTGAAATTTGGAAGGACCCAGTCGCTCTATGATCTGCAACCTACTTCAGAACCCAGCAACCAGGCCAATCATATCTGGGTGGCAGCCCGCCTTACTCCGTCAAGGGGTTATGTGGCTGCTTCTTCACAGCGACAAATCGAAAGGCACCGATGACATCAATGCCCCTGCCTCTTCCGTTGCCCCCCCATCACTGGAAGAGAGGTGGATGTTGGACAAAGTAGCTTGATGTGGAAACGTATTTTTGGGGAATCATTATTTGGTGTTTCGGCTTGAAGTCTCAAGGGCTTGAAGTTTGGGGAAAGCGGTATTCACGTATCACGTGTTCCTTTGTTCGGGGCTACATCGTCTCTCTTGAGTGACTTGAGTGCCACTGAAACTTCCTGAGGAACATCTAAACTCGATGGGAGTTCCCCAATGGGAGAAATATGCAGCACGCCAAGCGTGGCCTTTGTTCCGCCACCAGCCGCCACCAACGGTGGTGAAGCGATTGGCAGGGAATGCGGCTTGATCCACATGATATTTGATGGTCGTCAGTGTCGTCAGTTGTTGATTCGATTTGTATTTATTGAGTTACTGATCATGGTTCAATTGGAGTGCAGTTTTCAACAGCATGGCGTCACGACACGGCAACGTGACAACATGGCAGCATTCAACTTCCTCTTCCTGCTCCACTACCCTTCTTTCCTTCCCCTCTCTCCTAATGCGTCCTTCCATGCTGACCTTACTTGGTCATTCGCCGCAGCCCCTTTGGATTGTGAAGAATACTAGTGCGTCAAATTTTTGGACATGTGATATTCTGGTTCGAGCGCCTTGACCCAACATAGCACATTGTCGCAGACATGGCAACATGGCAGCATGACAGCAGCATCCCGCACCTTCTTTCTTCGCGGTAAGTCCTTGTCTATCCTTCTCCCGTCGCGCCGCGTTACACTGCATCACAGCAACAGACATGGCAGCATCCCCACACTCCCTTTCTATGTAGGTCGCTCCTTGTCTCTTCTTCTCCCTTCGTGCGCATGGTGTGTGATTCAGTTTGGTGTTGATTTGGTGTCGGTCCGATCGACATTTGAATTTGAACCATGCTGTTTTCTTGATTTTAGGCGATGCATCCAGCATGCGTTGGCAGTTTGTATGCTGCATTGCTCGTCACGATGAAGCTTCGGGATCCCAGGGCGGTGACGTCAGTTCCATCGCAAGTTTGAAGCAAAGCTTGGTTTCACCTAGGGGCCAGAGACACTTGTACTTGTGACAAGAGAGAAATAAACACTGCTAAACCATTGCGCTGCACATGCGTTGGAATCGTCTCACACTGGTTTTTGGCGAGCATCTGGCGATTGACTTTTAATATATGGTGCTCAATACAGTCATTCATACTATAGTTGCGCGGTACATCCATGCAAACATTTATCGCCGATAGTGACCATTTGAGCCCAAACGCCGCTACCCACCCCCAGTTGGAACCGATAGTCTGACACAGCAGGCTGACCAGACATGGCTGAACCCTCTTCGGCAGCCCCAGCTGCCGCAGCTGCTTTGAAAATGCTGAAGGTTAAGTGCTCGCTTGAGGATTGTCCAGTATTTTTTCTTCGGCAGGGAAGCAGGCCTGGGCCTGAGGTTCGGTTACTGCTTAGGACGCAAAATGGACGGAGTCTAAACAAGCTTTGTCAGTGTTCATCCTGAGCCTTTTGTTCTCAGTGCAGTGAAAAGCCAAAAAGCCGTTCTCAATACCTTTACCGGGATGTGCTAAGGCTGCCGCTTTGTGCTGGCCATAGCATTGCGAGAGATGGCATGTACCAGCAGGCTTCGCGTTCTAGGAACAAAGAGCTCGTGGACACCTTACTAAAGATGGAGAAGGAAAACCTTCCGGAGTTTTTGGAACATTTGAGAGATTTTGCACGACAGTGCCCGTGTGTGCATTGGTATGTGAGTTGAGAGTGACAGGTATGAAATGAGAAGCCATTGATGATACATTAATGATCTTGTTTTTCGGCGGTACGGGGTAGGTAACTGAGGCCAAACTTTGGAAAGCTGCGACTAAGTAATTGAAATTTGAAATGAAATGCACGTTCTTTCTTTTAACCAACGACCCATGGTTGCCACATTTACTGGCCTTACCGCCGCTGCCAAGGTGCCCCAATCCTGGGAGAGGATGCAGGCGCAAGGAGTTTGACTTTGCAAAGATCTTTTCTTTCCAGAAGTCCGGAACATTGAACCGTGACAACCGCAAGAAGCGGCCGATGTGCAAAGCGGATTTCATTAAGTACAAGACTAGCGAATGCCCATCTTACGAGAGACCTTTGTCTTCTTTCAAGTTTTCATTTGTTATTGCATTTTCTTTGAGGGGACTTGGCGCCCAACAACCAATGAAGTTTCAGTTTCAGTGTGTTACATCTCCATGATTTGGAAACCGACAAACATCTCCATGATTTTGTGACTCCAACGTGTCATATGAATATGGTAGGGTATGGTACATTTGTGCACATTGTGCACGTTCTTCAGTTTGTTTTCCGTGAATGTATGGTCATATGCTTTCATATGATACTTATATATACATATCCATCTTTGTCACAAACCTGAAAAATGCTATTGCATGTAATACATATTTGCACATATAGTATTTCAATATGTATATCGCTTTCCATGCCTGATGATGACAGCCAAGCGGAATCGCGCATTCAGGAGTGAACACGGACACAGCGGAGCAGCAATGGAACAAGCTCTTTGTGTCACCGAACATGCGAAAAGATCAGGTAGAAGCGTGCTCTGAGAGGGGGGAATCGATTGGAAAGGCCGGGCTCAGGGCTGCTGGGGTATGGATTAGAGTGTGATTTCATTATGTCATATGATGCCATGTGTGAAAGAGAAGGACTGACTTGGCAAACCGGAGAGTGATTTGACATATTCAACCAAATTCATTCAGCCTTCCAAGTTCCATGCTCTACAGGTCTGGAGGTTGTGGATTCCCATCGGGGAGTCGGAAGTATCTTCTAAGTACGAGGACTGGCCGAATGGCTTGCAAATTTCAGCGTGATTTAGAGGATTTTGTCCTTCCAGTTGGGCGGTGACTTTTCGAACAAAACAGACACAGTAGCAGTAGCAGCCAGTTCAGTTCATGCTGTCGCAGCAAATGTCCAACTTAGCAGAGTCAAACAAGCTTTCACAAGTTTCAAGCTTCAAGTTCAAAACTTCAAGCTTCTAGTTTCAGCCTGGAGGACTACGGAGTGCAGCAACAGATTGGAGACAATGCATCCAAACCATCCGAAAGTGAAGTGTCTCTCCAAAGGGAGAAAGCAGAGGGTCTGCTGAAGTCTTGCCTTTTGGACGATGATGGTGGTGCGCCCGCGTCTTTGCTGTCCACAGCCCTTCCAGGGCCCAGTGGTGCCAATGCCAGAGTGGCAGCTCAGGCCGCGGCGAAGGCAGTCCCAAAGGCAAAAGCAGCCGCCAGAGGCAACCCGGTTGTCCTTGCCGCTACCATGAGGGCAAAATCGGTGAAAGAGTTTCGAGAAGTTGGTAAGCTTTTGGAAAGGAGCATGGGCATGGCTGAAGATGTTTTGGCCAAAGATGCCATGAAGGTTCATGCTCACTCGCAAGATGCGGTGGACAAAGACTACACTCTGAGTCTGCTTCGTGATCGGATGAAGCTAGGACAGCTGGCGTACGATCAAACTACTGGTGGGCCATCTAGCTTGCAGCTGAGCAAACAATTGTTCTCTGAATGCTTGGAAGACCCCTATCTCAAGGACTTGTCCACAACTTTCCTCACTACAGAGGCCGGTTGCATGACCTACGGCCGCATCATGTTTTTGAGGAACACCGCCTTAGACCTTCAGTCATCCGTAGAGGCTGTGCGTGAAATGTGTGACAACATGAAGAATGCCATGGGTCTGCTCAAAAAGATTGCTGGAGCAATCCAGTCAGAAGCAGAAGCATGGCGTAGCAACGTGGCTATGCTTCACAAAGCAAGGGTTGCCGAGGAAGCTGCAAACAGGACAGGATTTGGGGTTGGGTTGTGCATAGTCTGGACAGGAGCATGGACAATAGCTCCTCGAGAAGCTAGTCCAACTCAACATTGTTGGTTGCGCTATGAAATCGGCTTGATTATCAGATTATAAACATATGTAAACGATGATGATTCAATGAAAATAGCACCCTGACCCTGACAGTCTGATTCCTTGGCAACTACAGCATGTTTCCAGTCGCCAGGAAGGCCGACGAGAAAATCAGAAAATCTGAAGCGTTGAAGGCGAAGAGAGAGGAAGAGAAGAAAAAGAAGCTCGCAGATAAGGCTGCACAGAAAGCCGCTGCCGCTGCTGCCAAAGCGGCTGAGGCAGAGGCAGAGGCTGAAGATGGCGACGAAGCTGATGGCCAGGAAGGCAATGGTGATGTCAGGAAGCGTCGCTGCAGGACATCGTGTCGTGTGGAAGACATGGCTGAAACTGATCCTGAGGTTTTGAAGGAGATGCGGGCATCACCTGCGACGACACCCTTTGCGACATTCCTGACGGTGGACGAGTTTGTCGGGGTAGTTTCCAGGATGCCGATGCTGCCAGCATGTCTCCGGTTCAAGAAGGGCTGAAGAAAGCATTGCAAGTTCCTTTGTTCTCACGACAGCTCTTCCTGTTTTTCATTTTGTGGTTTTTGCAATTTTGCGACCAATTGATTTTTGGACGCCAACGGTTTCTAGCTAGATTTGATCTGATTTGATTACTTTCAGAACTTTTGGGTGCTTGACCGAGTCAAGTTGAGCTTTTGGATCGACCTAGGCTTCTGACATGTCAGCGTCTTCGGTCACTGGGCTGTCCAAGATGCTTACCAGCGATGGAGCTAATTTTCTGACTGAGTGTGAAAAGGCCTTTGGAGATGGCCAGGAGCGAGTCTCCAAGGTATCGCCTGGGCCAGCTGAGTATCTAGGGTTCGATGTGAAGTGCAACGTCGCCATTCAGGGCGAGGCCTCGCATACTTCTGCAGTGGTCTTGAGCCGTGAATTCGTGGCTGAAAAGTTTTTCTGGTGCGGCTTAGCATGTTTTGGTCGGTTTATTTATCGAAGCCTTTTCTTCCGTGTGGCGGTGTTGGACTGGTCTTGTTTCGCCTTGCGGTTCATACAACATATCCTGTCACTGATTTCAGCCAAGGTTGGCCGAGAAAGCCGCGGCTCTGGGCTGCTCCACAGATGAGAAGACTAAGGTTGTGAACCGCATTGAGGGCGTCCAATGGGCAGGGTTCAAGCAAGGTGCTTGCTACTCCGGGCACCTTCCAGAGGGCCTCGGGTCTTTCGCCTATCAAGTTGAAGGTCAACGGCTTCTTGTGGTGGCAGACCTTGTGGAACTTCTTGAGGTTGCAAAGCCTGATGTGTTCCAATCTTTGACGGAAGGTGGCATGCACCTAACAGCAGAGCAGAGTTTCAGCATGCTACAGGAGCTTTTGCATGTTGGTGTTAATCGATGGGAAAAGTTTTCCATGGTCTGGGTTATGTCATGTAATGGTATGTTATGTTAGGATTTGATCATGACATATATATATATATAAATATATATATATATATATTCCATAAGTGTGTGATAATGGTTTGATAATGTTGAGATATGTTATGATATTGAATTTGCAAGCTTATGATAATTAGTTTTTATTTCCCCACCTGTCAGGTGAGGGTTGTTAGATTTTATGTCAGCACCATCTCCTCTTCCTCCTCTTCCGCCTCTGCCTCCTCCGCCTCCCCCACAAGTTCTCGACCACAGTGTTGGCTGCCGGACCTCCACCGCAAGTTCTCAACCACAGTGTTGGCTGCCGGACCTCCACCGCAAGTTCGCGACCACAGTGTTGGTCGCCGGACCGCAACTGCGAGTTCCGGACCCCGGTGTTGGCCGCCGGACCTCAACCTTATGTCAGATAGAATGTCAGAAGATCTGTCAGATAGAATGCCAGAAGACATGTCAGATAGAATATCAGAAGATATGTCAGAAGATGTGTCAGGTGGAATGTCAGAAGATATGTCAGGTAGAATTTCAGAAGATACGTCAGATAGAATGTCAGAAGACATGTCAGATAGAATGTCAGAAGACATGTCACAGGATGTGTCAGATAGAAATTCAGAAGATAGGTCAGATAGAATGTCAGAAATATGTCAGTAGAATGTCAGTAGTTATGTCAGATTGGCAGAAAATATGGTAGATAGAAAGAATATCACACTGTGAGGGTAAATGTGACGGTGGGGATCGCTCGAAGCAACGTAATTCAACTGCCTTTACTGTAATGATTTAGGTATATGGCAGGTGCGGTGATGAGTGTTTATTTGTTCACTCCTGGTGATGAGTATTTAAGGGATGGTATGATACTTTTTGCGACAGTTCCAACTTGACCGGCGAACTAGGACCTGGCCGATTTCTTGATGAAAGTCACTGCAGACAGCCTTGCAACATTCAACGCAGAAGGTCAGTTGGCCTCTTTCCGCTACTTGTATGTGATTGCCGGGGATTGCCTTTACTTACCCCATGGGTCGCTTGTATGTGAAAAAGCGACCGGTTCCCACAACACGAGCATCAGGGTCGCATCAATGCTCGTCACGAAGCACCATCGGATGGCATTGGATTTTATGAAAACCGTGTACCCAATGCACCTAGGCTTCCATACAGGTTTTTGCTTTCCCTTTTTTCTTCAACTTCAGCTTTGGAAGTGGAAGCTATCTACTCGTACCATCAACAGATGAAAATATAAAGCTTAGACAACTTAGACTTAGACCTGGAATTCTGGAATTGTTTTGATTTGGACCTGACGTGTGACGTGAGGTCCCCGATTTGCAACGTCTTCTCGAGTTTGGCTTCAGAGGCATTTGATGCAGATGATGATGGTGCTGCAAATCGTGAGCCTGATGTCAAAGTAGAGCGAGATCGAGAGTCAGATGCATCTGATGGCGATGGTGTGTGGTCTGCTGGGCCAGACGAAGAACTTCCAGCTCCTTTGCAAGATCTACCAGAAACTCAGGTTGAGGCACTGACTGGCCCCCCAACAGAGGCTGGGCATGATGGCTTGACGGCAGGGCCAAATCTGCAAGCAGAACAGGATCTACCAGAAACTCAGGTTGTGCAAGCAGAACAGGAAAGCAATCTCAGACAAGAGAACAAAGAGTCAGCAGACCAAGCGCTACCACAGGTAGAGGAGCCACCGAAGGAGAACGATGCCAGCCACGAACAAGACGAACTACCACCAGTCTCAGTCCTGGCTGCTGAAGGAAAGGAGCTTCCCATCGAGCCAGAAGCGGAGAAGAATGCGGTTGATACCAACCCCGAGCCAGCACAGATGGCGCCGGACATGAGTCCAAAGGAGAATGGTCAGGGTCAGGAACCAGTGCAGACAGACATGAAGCCTGACTTCGGGAGCCTATCGGTGAAGGACAAGATTGATGCCTCGCCGATTCTGCCTCGGGCACCCTTCGTCCCTTGCAGCAATGGTATCACAAGCGCCGGGGGGGAAATCGACAGGAGTGATGGAATGGACGTGGAGGGGGAAGATGCAGCTGGAGATGCAAAAGGCGATGATGGACGTGATGCTGATGCAGTGGAATCACAAGCCGGAATGGAGGAGGAAGATGAGAATGACGATGAGTCTGAGGAGCCCCCCCGGCCAAAGCGCAAAGCAGGCGCGATGGAAGATGAAGGCAAGAAGTCAAAGAAGGACAAAAAAGACAAGAAGGATAAGGACAAAGCAAAGAAAGCAAAGAAAGACAAGAAGGAGAAGGAAAAGGTTGAAAAGGCGCTGTCGAAGGCAAAGGCGGCAGCGAAGGCAACCCCAAAGGCCAAAGTCAAGGCGAGATATGCGACGGGGTCGGGGCTGGTGTATCTGGTTTTACTTTGTCGCTTTGTTTTGACTGCAAATTTCGGACAGTGGTATGGTAACACTACTCAAAGATCCCGGCTGGAATTTCCTCTATTAAATGGAACACCATTCTATGGCAAAGACGTGTCCGAGTCTACTACGAGCTTTGGTGAATGTTTGCGTTCGATTTTTTATCGGTGAACATCCCAATTGTCGAACCAGGTCGCCATTGTATAGATTCCAGATCATGGTCACCCTTGCATGGGTCATAACTAACACGATTAGAAATTAGAACCTATCAAAATCCACGTTTCAGGGTGCCCGTGGAAGATCTAATACACTTTCACGATGGATTTTCCAGCGACCAAATGGGTATGGAAGGATGTGGGCCATGGGTCATGGCACATCATGTCACCCTGCAGTCCAACTCTCATGCAAATGGATTCGTGGTTCAATGGAGCTGTATGGATTCGTAGTGATGCATGAAGGTGATTCCCGTCTATTTGAAGCAAGAAAACAGTGCTAGCTGACGCGGTGCAACTATACAATGGCACTACCTAGGTTTGATTAGAAAGAGCCACGAGCCTCTATAAAATCGAGGTGGGTGAGGTCAGAAATGGTTGGCATCAATGAGTTTGAAGATGGCAGCTCCACCGGCAGTAGCCCTGGTGCAAAATTTGGTGAGAATCCAAAGAAAAAGAAAGCAATCACTATTTACCAAAAATAACGATGCTATTCGGGGTCGCGCCATCTGCCAAAAATAGCGATTTTACGGCCAGGCTGCGCCATCTACCGTCGCTATTTTTTTGCGCCATCTACTTTTACTTTGGTGTATACCTATATATATATGGTTTTGTTTAACTCTACACTGGACAAGCTGTGCACCTACTGACAGGGATAGCAACCATTCTGTAGTGTAATTTATTGTCGGAGTTGGGGCCACATGATGGATATCTATTTTATAGAAGGGAACCTGCTTGGGCACGGCTTGGGATCCCATTCTTTAGATGTCGCCATGGTGTCAGAGGGTCGTGCCCGTCAAAAATGCAGGGGCACAACACTACTCAAAGTATGTGTAACCCAGTATGGCAGCATGAGTGCGACCAATGCTATGCCAAAACTGATTCAGGCGGCGGCAGCAAAGGCAAAGGCGAAAGGAAAAGAGTCGGATTCAGTTTCTGGGGATGAAAATGAGTTCTTGAAAGGAAAACAACTGTTTGCAAATATGGTACATCATTCATGTACCAACAAAACATGCATCTAGTTTGTAAGTTATCATAGGTGCATGCCGTGCTTGTTTACATTGCATGTCATCCTGTCACTGGATGTCGTCAGTATCATTTGGAAATACCGATTGAAGATGCACACTTCACGATGGTACGGTACATATCCAAATGGCATGCGCGGTTCAAAGTGCTTGTAAACATGCATACCGGAAACCAGCAGAAACCACTTCATCACCTGAGGCATCCATCACGTTCACGCCTGGTGTCGCAAAGGGGCGCTTGACAAGCATGCTGATGCCCAAGGGGGGCAAGGCCAAGTGATTGGATGCGATCTGACATGTGGGATGGGGCCTGAGCCAACTTTTTTTGTCGTTAGGTTAGGACTTTCACTCTTTAGTTATTTAAGACATCAAGCCCGAAACTGTGAGTCTCATGTATACTTGAGCGAAGCGCAGCTGCGCACAACTTCACCGAGCTTCAGAAAATGAATGTCGCAACCGAGTCCCAAATTGTCTCAAAGTTCCACTGTTCAACTGAGTTCAAGTGAGACTGCACGGGGCTGTGATTAATTGCTCCAGCTGGCCTCCCAATTACTCAGCAAACAATGCTGAGTAGTTCAATCCAAAGACAAGATGCGGGGGAAAAGGCTGCTGTGCCTGTCTTCAGTGATTGAAGTGCAATGTTTTCAAAGATCAATGCAAACTCAGTCAAATGAGGCAAATGAAGGACGAAAAACTCAATTTAAATATCAGCAATTGTGAATTGAACCTGGCAAATTTATTATTTGAATTCGCTTATGTCATTGAAAAAAGTCCTCCTGTCATGGGAGAACGGTCATGGAAGACTAGGAAAGCTTGTGAAGTTCCAGCATGAACTTGACATGATGTCATGAACATGATTTGATAGGTAATTGATGATAGATGTGTATACGGACCTGTATTTACTAGATATGTTGCATCTACTATTTGCATACTCGATTATACTAAGATCCGTTTGTGTTTAAGTCGTTTTAAGTGTTTTAAAACTTATGACAGGCACCTGCAGATATATAATGCTTTTTTGTTTTTTTCTTTCCTATAGGGGCCAGGGTTTATGAAATTTAGCATTCTTTAGGTATCCACAGCCCATTCTGCAGCCAAATGACTGATTTGAGGTGAACTCGTCTAGTTAGTTCTTTATAAAAGGTCAGCATAACATTTTCTTCATACCACTCACGTACTCGAAAGGTTGCTCCTCTGTCACTGCTATGATATTGTGGCCTACGCCTAGGCAAGTGGGTAGTAACTACTGCTCGGGTGGCGCTTTCGATCTTGGCGCTGAGGTGTAATAATCTCGCCAAAAAGAGGTAAAATTGCGATTTCAAGGAGTCCCGCACAACCCTTCACAGAAGGTGGGCAACAAAATCCAAACTGACACAGGTACACAGTCCAATAAGCCGTCACGATGCCGGTGGAAAGAACAAACAGAAAGAAACAAGAACAGAAACCAAAATAACCAAAAAAAACACACCAAAACAGCCCATGCAAAAACTAAACAAAACAAAAAGAGCAAAGTGAACGGCCGGTCAGTTCGCAACGTCAGTAACTGACAGAAGGGTGATAACCTTGTATCATCCCAGGGATTGGAATGGCGGATGAGGCAAAAAAAGATAAACCGAAACAGGGTTCACAAAGCATGTGTTTTTTCAGAGCCTTTTGCTTCAAGTGTGAACCGGGTCGGTTCTTCATTATAATTTGTTTTGTGTTGGATGTTCTTGCACGGTGACAGCTCAATGGTTATTTATCAATCTTTTTTTCGCGCGAAAAGGTTGTGACGGGAACCCAGAAATCGAATTTTTACCTTAGTTTTTGGCGATCAGACTTCATTTCGTGCGAAAGGGTTGCGCGGACAAGTTGGAATCGCAATTTTCCGCAATTTTTGACGATCGCACTTCATTTGGTGCGAAGGGTTACGCGGGACCCTTGAAATCGTAATTTACCTCAAGTTTTTGGCGATCGAAAAAATTGATCCCAAAAAATTGAAGGTATTTTTGGCTTCGCCTAATGAAACAACAGGTCTCCCAGAAATTCGACTGAAAAAATGGAGTCTGTCAAAAGAGACACAAACTGTCCAAAACGAAAAGAAATGTTGCGATGCCAAAAAAAAACTCCCAGTGAATGTGCCCGACACCCTTTTACAGAGGCTCGCACAACCTAGGCCTATGTCTAGCATAAAGTTCTATAACAGCGAAGCACGTGACTCTCTTCAGGCGTCTTTTTTTCCCTCCAACGCCTTCATGGCTTCCGCCAGGTCGTTCAACACGTTCAATTGCATGTTGCAAATTAGGCTGCAAGGGTTAATTGGCATACACATGGCCGCTTGACTCTCTTCATGCGTCATCATGCCAGAATCGAAGAGCATACACCGTTTTTTTCTGTATCATGTTGACACTGAGGAGGTACACTCATGAGTCTCCAGGATTACAATACTTTCCAAAGCTTGAATTAGATTCAACTAGCTTCCCCCCTAATGTTGATACAAACATAAACGTGAAAAATCGAACGCGCGTGTGCGATCAATCTAAAGAAGCTTCTCGTTTGCACAACCAATATTAAAATTCCGGGGCAAGGGGACACACATAGTTTTTTTTCCTTCCAACGCCTTCATGGCTTCCGCCAGGTCGTCCAACACGTTCAATTGCATATTGCAAACTAGGGTTAATTGGCTAATTAATGCATACATGGCCGCCTGCAGATTGAGGGGCTTCAAGAGTGATCTGGTGAAGGACCTGTACATAGTCCAGTCTGTCACGACGTCAACAAAAGACCAAAAACCACAAACGAACCAAACAAACCAAAAAATCCACAAAGCAAAGCACCAACCCAAACCGAAACAGCCAAACAGAGATGTGACAGGTACTAGTTCATGGCAAGGGGACACACATAGAGCAAAGATGAAATCTAAAGCCAGCAGCCAGACTGCTGACGCTAGTAGTTGCTGAATGGCAATCTGCCTGTGAGACACATGGATTTGCCATTCTCTCTCACCCACCTTGGCCCCCAAGGGGCTTACCGCAGTACCGGTCAGTCGCAGATCGTAAGTTTCTCTGACCCTTTACCTTTTGCTGAGCCCTACTTGTGTGCAGCTTTGGGTTTCCGTACTTTGGCAGGTTTTTTTCCCCTTCAAAGAATGTTTTTTCCTTAACACAGACCCAAATCCTCTCTCAAACATTGAGGTCTGTGCTAACGCTTCCGGCAACATGAGCAAGCATCAACCCGCCCGGAAAAGACTCAAGGAAAGCACGCTGGCTGCCAGTACTCCAACATGCTTGTGTTTTCATTCATGTGTACAAACCTCGAACACAGTCGGAATACACGTCCCATCGTGTGAAAGATGAATAACGTCACTGCTCTAATTAAATAATTCACTAATATGCAACATGCTATCGAGCGTAGAGAACGACCTGGTGAAAGCTTATAGACTTTGGACGGAAAAAAACGGTCTTTGCTGTTGATTTTGCGATTTTGCGGTCTCATTTTTGGTATCGCCAGACGGTGCCAAAAATGGGACTGTGAAGGTGCTTTTCTTTTTCTTTTACTAAGCGGTGCACGCGGTCCCAAAATGGGACCCTCATAGATTGAAGTTTGTTGTGTCAAGGTTGCAGAAGCGCAACGTTTTGGTTTCAATGAAACTTTGTGGCTTTGGCGACCGGAAGGGCA